AGAAGTAGTAGTAGCAGTCGCCAGGGGGATCAGTGGAGTTGGTGTGTCAGTCGATGTTGGACATTGAAGTATCAACCACCACAACTAGATTGCTGCGTCATTAACTATTATTTTCAAGTTCCTAACGTTTTGTACGTCGAACCTAATTTAGGACCGACTTAGTGAAATACAAGCCTCCACTGTGAAACTACTCTATAACACTTATTAAATCATTGCAGGTGTGTGTTCAGCCGTACTATTTATTTATTTCGTTTATGTCTATATTATTTACTTATTTATTTTGTTTTACTTACATTATAATTAGCAGAAAATCTTTACCTATGTTGTATTGAATTCCTATATTTTATTAGCATTATATCATAATATTTTACAAGACTTTATTCTTTAGTTTTCAGATTTGAGCTGCGTGCGACACTGAAATACGATGGCGTATTGAGATACCGAAAGCTGATTTCCAGAAGCTAAGCAAAGTATCAAAAAAAAAAAAATCGTTAGAAACAAAGAAAAGAGTACTGAATTGTTATGCCATATCAGTCCTTGTATATGGCAGTAAAGGCTGGAAATCTGAATGTGATTCTAAAGAAGGATGCTGAGAATACCGTGGACCTAACATATGAGCAACGACGAAGTTTTAGAGTTAAGCGAACCAAAAAGGACACTTTTACTTAAATCCGGAAGAGACAGTTGCTGCTTATGGGGAGCATAATGAGGAAAGAGTGTTTGGAAAATCTGATACTCATAGGATAGATTGAAAAGCAAAAGGGACAGAGGAGAACAACGTATAACCTATCTAGCGAACTTGAGTACATGGATAGCGGAACAAGATTCGGGAGAAATAACAAAGATACAAACTTTATTAAGAGCTAAAAAGGACAGGAAATTGTGGAGGGCCGTTGAAAAGAGCCGGAAGATAGATGAATAAAAACGAACTTGTGTAAATGTTTGGCAGATAGGAAAGATAGCAAAAAGATAAGCGTTACAAAGAGCTACAAAGGAAAGTTGAGGGTGGAGAGACATGATCGCCCACGTCCTGAAGGGATATGAGAAGAAGAAGAAGAAGAAGAAGAAGAAGAAGAAGAAGAAGAAGAAGAAGAAGAAGGAAATGGAGGACTGGGATCAGGAGCAAGAGGAAGGGAAGGGTGATCCTGTGTAAATGGTTGACAGAACAGGGATTAGGAGAGATAGCAAAAAGACATATTTTACTAAGAGCTACAAAGGACAGTTGATTGTGGCGAGCCAAGATCGCCCACGTCCTGAAGGGACACGGCACATAGCCGAAGAAGTGCACTTAAATGATAAAATGAGGCTTGACTCTTTCGTATTTAATATGACTGCACTCTTCCACTTAACTCCAGTTATTGTCAACCAGTGAGGGTGTAAGGGGAACCGTCGTCTCTGGTCCGAACTTGAACCACAGATTCCCGTTCAGCGAAGTCTGACAGACTGTCCAACTCTAGAGCCGTTGTTTTTATATATCGAAACGCACAGGTGTTAACCTCTTGGGGGTAATAAATGACAAACGCGTGAATCACGGATCTCTATCCCCAGTTGAGTTCATCTCAGTTAAACCGTATACGTGATGCCTGGTGTGAACTCGTGCTATTCTATGCCGGCTTGATACTACCATTGTTTTTGTAGAGCCGTTGGTTTTAAAAATAATGACGCAATAATGTCGTTTTTTGGTATTTTTAACGTCAAAAAATCACATTATTACGTCATTATTTTTGCAACAACCTAATATTTACTTTAAACATACATTCAGATTCCTTTTCTGAGATTACCATCAACACATTATTCCGCCGCGTATCTGCAGTTATTAAACATCTTGACAGATTTTATTAGGAGATTACCATCAACACGTTATGACGTTAAAAATTATCTGCAAAACGACATTATTACGATTTTTGCACCAACCTTAATATAAGGTGATCTTTTGCTAATTTTTACGTAGTTTGAGAAGTGGTCACTGATATGCAATAAGTGCTTCAAAATCTGCTGTACATTTATTTTTTTTTAATAAATCAAAAATTGCAAGAACTTTTTTTGTTACCTTCTAGATGCCGGTAGGGTACCCAAGTCTCTTAGATTCGTTTTGCTGTAAGTTTAAACAGTGCGTCTTCAACGACAGGAAATAGGCAAACGGAGAAACTGCAAAAAAACAAATAATCAAACCAATAACAGCTCAGGCCAAATTTCACGGATTCATACAACAGAAGCCGGGAAGCTGTTCAGGAGATGACCGCTTCTGGTTGAGTTACCTGGGTGACGGCGATTGGTGTTTTTAGAGGTGCAGAACGTCCAGTAAGATGTATCCTTGATGACGCTACCCAACACATCGCAACCGTGTTTGAGAAGTGTTGATCGGATTAAAATCTTTTCATCACCTCCTCCTAGGGGACCAAAATAACAGAATTTGCGTAAATGACCAAATAGTATAATTTATTCTTAGAAGATCTTCTTGGTCGGACTTAGTGCTTTTCAGATATCCCTGTACATTGTTATAAATATACGTATAGACGTCAGCATATACGTGTGGCTTTAACTGAAGCCTTTGTGTCTGATAGCTAACGTGATATGTCTGTCATCATCTTGCATCATTTGGCATTAGATTAGAGTTACTTTTGCTTCAGAGAATGTTTTTTTAGAGTTCAGACGTCGCTAATGTCTGCATTTCATGGGAAAAATTCGTAGGTAGCCTGATGTTATTGCAAGCGATAAAAATAGGCGGACAAAGTCAGTAAATGACATCAAAGGAAAGGGTTTCCCTTCTTTTTTCTCATCGAATGGCTAAACACGGCGATTGTGAAAACAGGGGTTGAATAATATGCATAATTTTCAAATGGTACAAAACTTAAGCATAGCTCAAAGACGTGGTGACATATTGAAACTTACTGTCAAAGCGAAAAAAAGTTTTTTTTAAAACTAAAGTTCAACAAAAGAGATTCACTCAAATGGAGGATTACTGAATGAAGTCTGTGATATAAATGTAAGAAGTGGTGGCAGGAAGTGAATATTATACGGATAAATTGGTTAGATAACGATTGACTCTTGACTTGAAGGGGTTATGACCAAGAACAAAAGGATTAATCAGGAGGACAGTAAATAGAGATTGACATTGCATTTAAATTTTGAAGGTTAAATTTGGCTAGAAAGCATTGGAACCGAAAGGGATTTCCATAAGCGAGAAGTCCGAGAAAATAAACTAGAACATACGTCTACATGTAACCAGCATAACTGTAAATTGATAAGATCTCGATGCCAGTCTAGTCTTTGGATGCCCTACGCGGGAGTAGTTTCCACAAAGTTCAGACATTTTTCTTGGGAAGAAACGGGGAGGAACTCCTCCTTATGAGCTCATACAAGCAGTTGTCACGATGTTAATATGCTTAAGCGACCAGATTTTCAATCAAAACTTATCAGATTGAGCGTTGCTAAGTTTAAAATACTAAACAGTAAAACAGAATTATCAATAAAAACAGTGTATAACTTTCTAAAAGTAGTTTCATCTCTTACTAAATAAAGATAAAAAAAACATATGAGTGACAGCAGTCCAACATAAGTTATAAAGAGTCATTTTAAAAAAGAAAGAAAATGCTTTTGCTTGCAAAAGCACCGAGCACAAACTAAGCAATGAATTGAGAAAACCTTAGTGTGATATTAAGCAACCAAGGTAAATTTAAATAAACAGGACATTTAGATATATGTCTCTTGAGTTTTTTTCTTTCTGAGATGATAGATAAAGAATATATTTAGAGCATTTTATCCACTTGTATTTCTTATGATGGTCCAAGCAGTAAAAAAGTTTGTAAATTGTTTGGTTTACAGCTGTTATCATACGTTTTCATTTAACTCTTACACCATCATGATTTGTTGGAATTACTCAGCAACCTTGAAATATTATTCTTTTTGATCGAGTTCACCCCATGCAAGGCAGTAAAGCCGCAAAAACACAAGAGGGTGTGAAAGAGTTAGAAACAGAAACATTACTAAAAGTAATCAGGAGGACAGTAAATAGCGATTGACGTTGAAATTACGTCTACATCTAACTAGCTCAACTGTAAGCTGATGAGATCTCGGCACCAGTCTAGTCTTTAAATTCAAAAACTCTTGGTGTTATAACGAAGAGTTCATCCGGGCAATTACCGTGAAAATATTTATTGAAAAGGTACAGGGTGAAACCTTACGGCGGTGGGAAAGTACCTGAAGCCGAGACTCCAGAATCAATAACATTGCTGATTCTTCTTTGGATTTTCTCAAGGAGCTCTAGATATATAGCAGAAGCACCGGACCCTATGGGGTAGCAATATTTTAGGCATGAACGAATGGCAGACTTATAGATATGTAGAATGGATTCTAGAGAGAAAATTTGTCTGGGAAGGATATTAGAATAATCAAGAACCTATACTGGCAACAGGCTGCCTGCATACAGACAAAGACTGATTTCGGTGGATACACAAAAATAGAAAGGAGCGTAAGACAAGGATGTGACTTCTGAGCAAACTTATTCAACCAATACACGAGGCAATTCTGAGAGAATTCGATGTCCTACCAGACTTCATTATTAACGGCCACAATCTTAACATCATAAGATATGCAGACGACACAGTGTTGATAGGCACAGAAAGAAAACTAGAAAAACTCTTACAGACGTTAGTGAAGGAAAGCAAGAAGAAAGGACTAAACATAAACTGCAAGAAGACAGGATAATCAAATTTAAACGAAAACTTGCAATCTAAAGCTACGAATTACTTGATTCATCCGTTTGCATACACATATACATATATAAATATATTGTATATAATCTGGCTCTAGAAGTCAAAATCTGACGGTGCGTTGCATTTTCAAACCTTCAGCAATTATCAGACCAGGTTCTATCTATCTATCTATCTATCTATCTATCTATCTATCTATCTAATTTTGTTCTACGATAGATATGAACAGAATGATATCGACAGACAGACGCATATGAATATAATAAAAAATATATAGATATGAACATAATGAGATATCTATCTATCTATCTATCTATCTATCTATCTATCTATCTAATTCTGTTCTACGATAGCTATGAACAGAATGAGATCGATAGACAGACACATATAAATATAATGAAATATATAGATATGAACAATAATGAGATATCTATCTATCTATCTATCTATCTATCTATCTATCTATCTATCTGATTCTGTTCATATCTGTCTATTTAGGAATGTTTTCTAAATACTATTTTGATTCCTGCACACACGTACAGTGGATGACCCGATAAGAGACAGCAAAGGAAATTGCTAGATGATCATAGATATCGATAGATCGACAGACAGACAGACAGATAAACACCGCAAAAGATAAGCCGATTAGTCTAAAAGAGAGATTGATGGACATTTATTAGACTAACAGACAGATGAATGGGCGCACTAAAGCCATATATTTTTCGCCATTACTTTGTGCTTCCTGTCCAGTGTGACAGTGACTGTACAAGAAATATCTACTCCATCAACTGTTGCTCTGACATACCAATCTACTTACTCGACTAGTTTCTCAATTTGTCTATTGTGCCTTATTGCTGATACTGTCTGTTCAGACGTTCACCTTCCCATTCGCCATCTTATAACCCCTCATGTTTTGCTCATCTTCGCTTTTAATGTATATTGCGAATCCACGAGATTTCGTCTCGTCTTCACACCTCGTTTTCATTGTGTAGTTGCCTAGGCCACGAAGATGGCGTACGCATTCAAACGTTATGGCGTAGAAACGGACAAATAGGAAGTCACTTATTTCAGGCGAGGTAGATCACGGATAATGATTTCTTGTTTTGTTTTGCTTTGCTTTCAAGCACACGGAGAAATCCATGGTTTGATTTGTTTTTGTTTTTGTTTTCTTTTTGGGGAACCCATTGAATCTGTGTCAACAGTAGACAATGGAAATAGTCGAAATAATTTTTATCGATTAAAAATTGAAATAGAGTTGAGTAAGCTAAAAGGAACTTTTGAATTCACATGATTTTGGTTGAAACAGACAAAACCGCGTGATAATCACGTGCGAGGCAGTAGGGCCAAGGGTCAGTTGTAACCAGCCTGTTTTATCTATATAAAAGCGTACTTATGCTGAAAAACACAGACGGGCAAGCGTTGAGAGGGAAGAGAGAGGCGGAAGAGAGAGACAGAAGAGAATTAGCCCGGGCAAGAGTTGGGCTAGAGACAATAGAGAGACGAGTTGGAGACTTAAGAAAGAGAGAACATGACGTCAGAGATTGGAACGAAGCGTCCGCTAACATGTGCTGTTGATATAACTACCGCTGCTTCTGCTAGCACGAATATTACTACTACTGTTCCTAAAGAGGAACGCCACTATAAACTTTAAGCCGCGCACAAAAATCTTATTCCCCCATCACAAGAGTCGTATATCGTTCCGAAATGATTTAACAAGTTATTCATAACACTCTCTCTCTCTCTCTCTCTCTCTCTCTCTCTCTCTGTGTCCAGAATCCAGTGTATGCGTTTTTACGTCAATTACTTTTATTTTCTGTAACACGTTTCATTTTTATACTATTCTTTTCTGCTATATAAAAGACATTAACAATTCAATCATTGAATAGTTGGTTGTTTGTCCGGCTTTCTGCAGATATTTTTTTCGCTGCATTCTAAATTTCTTAGCGCAGACTCTCCAGCCGTGTCTATATCTTCAGTCGACCGTGAATGGATGAACATCACTTCTGCTTTCTGGATCAAACCAAACACAACGTGAGCAGGAAGCAGGATGAAACCAGAGTACCGGTCGAATAATGTACGGATGCTCAGAGAACCTACGGCCACTCCCTTAAGTTCGGTTAGGACCGAGTAGACATCTCAACCAAGAGAGTAAGACGTTGGAGGTTGAGGGGCTGGAGCGAAAGTGTTAGACCTGTAATGATTACATATATAACGAGTAGGATTGATTACACAAATACGTCAAACCTTTCATTCCCTCTAATGATTACATATATGACGAGTAGGATTTATTAAACAAATATGTCAAACCTTGCATTCTCTCTAATGATTTTATATATAACGCGTAGGCTTTATTAAAAAAATACGTCAAAACTTTCATTACCTGTAATTATTACATACAAGGAAGGTAAAGAATGCTTTAAGTTCTTCTTCTATGTGCTGTGTCCCTTCAAGGTATATGGGGCCATGGCTCTCCACAATTTCTTATCCTTTGTAGCGCTTAATAATTTTTGTTTTTTGTTTTCTCTCCTAAATCTTGGTTTACCATTCATTTGGTAGAGTAGGTTATATGTTGTTTCCTCTATCCCTCTTGTCTTCAATCTGTCCTGTGAGTATCAGATTTTCCAAGCCCTCTTTCTTCATTACCTGGCCGAGAATTTTCAACTGTCTTTTCTTGGTGATATATATAAGTGTCCTCTTTGTTTCCATTTTTTCTTAAACTTCCACGTTGCTGAAATGTTCGCTCCATGATATTTTCTGTATCCTCCTGTAGAACCATATTTCTGTTGCTTCAAGTCTCTTCTTCATCTGTGAGGGGATTGTCCAGCATTCACTGTCATATAGGAGGACTGATATTACGTAACAGTTCAGTACTCTTTTCTTTGTTTCTGTTGCTTCAAGTCTCTTCTTCATTTGTGAGGAGATTACCCAGAATCCACTGCCATACAGGAGGACTGATATTACGTAACAGTTCATTACTCTTTTCTTTGTTTCTGTTGCTTGAAGTCTCTTCTTTATCTGTGAGGAGATTGTCCCGCATTCATTGCCATATAGGAAGACTGATATTACGTAACAGTTCAGTACTCTGGAGGACTAATATTATGTAACAGTCTGTTAGTCTTTTCTTTGTTTCTTAATACTCTGCTTAGCTTTTGGAAAGCTTCTTTCGCTATCCCAATGCACCTTCGGATTTCAGTTTCACCCTATCTGTCCTCTGTTAAAATACTTCACAAATATTTAAATTGTTGTACTTGTTTGATTTTCTCCAATCTGTAATTTGCATGTTAGGCTCTTTCTTTTGCTAACAACAACGCATTCCGTCTTCTTGCAACTGATGTCCAGTCCTTTCTTCTAGTTTTCCTACATTAACTTCTGTAGGAGATATTGTAGTTTCCTTTCTGTGTTTCCTATCAATAAAATCGATATGCCATGGTCTAGAATACATATAGATTTCGCAGGACCGTTAAATGGAACATACTATCTAGTGGTAGTTGATAGTTATACTAAATGGCTAGAAATATTGAAATGTAGAAGACCAACACAAGAAGATGCATTATCAATACACACTTCGCGAGCTTTTCATGCAAAGAAAGTTTTGTTCATAAAATCGTAATAGATAGCAGTTTAACTCCTTCATCGATTTTAAATGATCCAATAATGGGTTGATCAACAATTCCAGTCCATATCATAACACTACTGCCTCTTTGTTACTTTTTTAACCACAGGCACGTCTGAATTGGATAAAATCCATCCTTTGGTTTATCCATCAGGTCCATCAATTGTTACTCGAGATTCGTCCGTAAAAATTAAGAAAAATCAATTTTCACATATTTCTGGGCCAATTTTGACGTTTTAAATATTTGCTTTAGTGAAGGGAGGTTGCCTAGGAGATTTTTTACAGATCCCAATTCACAAAGAATTCTACACCTTTTTTGTTCGTCTTGAATCCTTTAATTCCAACCTAGTCAAAGATCTGACAGCTGGTTAAAAGTGGTTATTTCGTTATAAGCATGGCTTTTTAGTTTAAGTCCATCTTGAGGAAGCAAGTTTAAAGCCTTTCTGTTGCTTGAAGTCTTCTTTGGAGTTCTCAACTTATATTTTCAAAAGCCTTCTTTATCGTTCGATGATTTCTGCAAAGCTCCTTTGATATCTTCAATGTGGACATTCCGTCATTCATTAACTTTGTTATTTTCTGTTTTTCAACAGTTGTTAACCCATGTTTCAACATATGTTATGGACAAAAGGAGAAAATATTTTTTTATTAGATTTCAGAGGTCTTCAGCTAATATTAGTTTAATCTGCATATTAACTTCAGTCAGTTCATCTTCGTAAATTTAAAATATCTCAAAAACTAACCATTTTAAAAATGACAGAAAATTTAATTAAATATTTTACTATGGTTGGAAGTGGACGAGTTTAAATTTGACAAATATTGATTCCAAACTTTTTGAGTTATTGTGGTTTATTTGTTTTGTGTAATGTCTTCATACAGGCTGTAGTTTTAATGTTTTTCCTTTCATTACAATTGTGTACACATGTAATTTCATTTTGTTAATAGCATGCAATTTCATATTCACTGTATGTTGTCTTGTTTTTACCCGGATTCACATTAAATCCGCCATTATTGTTTGTGGGATAAATGTTCCAGGATCCCATAAATAAATATCTACATATCAAAACCAAGCAGATGATACTCGCAACAAATTGGTGTCTTATTTCTACCTAAATATACTAGTATTCCGCAACATAATGGTGACTTATTTCTACCTGAACATTAGTGTAGAATCGAACGACCTCATTTCAATCCCTTCTATTTTTACTTTCAACAAATGTGTTAAGAAACAATAGATAACAAGAGAAATAACAAATTCGATAAATCAATGTAATAACGAAAATAGATTTTTCTTTTATCAGTGACAAAACAAAAGTGATACAAATTGTGTTGATGTGTTGCATTGAAATTATTATTGCATTTTTAGACATTGTGTACAAATGATATGTTGTTGTTACGTAGAAGTTTAAATTTTTAGTCCAACATCTTTTTCTCGTTTGTTTGAAATAGTAATGAAAGTTCATTCAGAAGTTGTCTCTCTTTGATTGTTGAACTCACTGACGCGAATGAATTATGATCTCTGTGCAAGTTAGTGAGTGAGTGTTTTCCTCCGCAGACTGATTTTCTCACTGACAAAGTGAGTTAGTGTTCTGTATTTGAGAACTTTACGGTGTAATAATAATGTTCTGTGGTTGAGAACTTAGACGTTCATTCACTTGCAGAAATGAACGAAAGCTGCTGTGTGAACGACTTGAGTAAGGGAATGTTCTGAAAGGCTGAGATTAATGGGTAACTTTTAGTCTCAGAATGTGTGTGTTGTGACCAAGTAAATGGTTAAGTAATAACAAAAAACCAGGTTTGCAAATATATCGTATATTAAACAGTAAGTACAACAGAAGAGTATTACACGACTACTAGTAAGACTAAGAGTGTGTAGCAGACCCAGGTAGCATGCAATGCTGGCCTATGAAAAGGTGGCCTTGTGCCAGACACTACTTACGACTATCGAATCCACTAACAAAGTAAAAATAATAAATGTGTGATCTTTAGTGAGGAAAAGGGTCATTTAACATGTGCATAAAAATAATAAAATATAGATAGCCAGGAGGAAATGACGGAAACGAGCCTGGTGGAAAACAAATATAAACTTTATTTGAATAACAAATAATCTTGTCTCAACAGTGGAGACTATCAGAAAAAGTAAGGACTGTTCTTAGCCAGTAGGCAGATTGTATAATGTAGTGACCAGTAGAATGTTAATGTCCCGCGCCAAAACGAAAATCAAAATGTCTAAGGCGGGAAAAGTTTCTTCAGAAGGAAGGTTCTGGAATATAGTCTACTTGTACAAAAGGTGTATGCACGCACAAGGAAAATACTCACTGCGAGATTTAATAATGTGTGTGTAATGTTATCTTGTTTTTTTAACTGGTTCGTAAAGTTTAGAATTCAAAAGAGGACGTGAAGTTTATCAATCGACCATGTCGAAAAACTCTATGTTCCCTAATAGTGAACGGAGGAAAGTTCGAACAAGTTGTTCGCGTCAGGACGAGGAATTGGTCTTAAAAGCGTGATGACGACAGGGTAGTAGTCTCTACATCCTCCGGTAGAAAATGGAGGAAGGTTCAAACATGTTGTTCGAAGAAAAGTTGCAAATCACAGGAAAAATATTCGGCATGATGATAGCCAAGGAGTCACTAGGAAATTTTTGGTTAGTTAAGATATTCCGGCCCGCGTATGGGTAAGGGACGCGAAATAAATGAGTCGACCTTCTTCTTCTGGAAACAGGCCGCGACTGACTTGAAAACGCTGTTCGTCGGTGACGTCAGAGAATGCGCGGGAAAACTTCAAATTCTGATTCTAGCTGGAATCAGCAGCAGCCAGCCAGCAACATTCCTCGCGACGGCCACAAAGGGGGCTGTTTACTACTATATCTGGCCGACGAACCAGCTTCGGAGAGGAAGGCCAGTAACGAGTTAGGAATTTAGATTTTATTTCAATATATTTCAACCAACGTAGAGAGGGCAAAAAGTGAAAGACCGGTAGGCTCCGGAGAGAATCGACTCTCGACCTCCAGTTTAAAAAAGCTGGCCATTTAACCAGCGGAACCACGGAGCCGAAAGCCGGAAAAGCGTGGGTAATTTAGATTTATTTTCCGTTCATCGAACGCATACAGTGCAAAAAGCAAATGACCGGTAAGCTCCGGAATCTCGAACGGCCAGCTTATTAGACTGGCGCTTTAACCAGATGAGCTACGGAGTCGAAGGCCAGAAACGATATAGTAATTTAGATATTTTTGTTCCCGTTCATTTAACGTAGAGAGTGCAAATAGTGTATGGCCAGTATACAATATATATATATTTATAATAATTTGGATCATCTGTGAATAGTTTCTGAAAGTTTCATTAATATCTAACAATTATTCTTATTTTTGCAGGATTTTCTAAAAGAATGTGTGTCATACAAAAAAAAAAGTGCTAAAAATTCTATCTATCTATCTATCTATCTATCTATCTATCTATCTATCTATCTATATTTCTCATGTTGTCTGTCTGTGTGTCTGTCGTGGACGTTGTTACCTCGCCCAGGCCGCATTTCTCAACCGATTTCGCTGCAGTTTTCAACACAAGTTTGCAAATGGCTGCCGTAAGGAGATGACGGAGCCCGATTTTTGAGTTCGGAATCAGGTTCCGAAAAAAATCGATAATCGAAAAAATCGATAATCGAAAAAATTCTGCTTACAGAAGGAATGATTGCATTTCAACCAAATTTGACACCCTCGTAGAGTCTACCATTAGAAGTGTTGTCCAGAAGTTTCATGACCACGGACCCCTAAACAGCGCGGAAAATCGATAAAACCCAAAAACAGATACGCCCAGATTGAGTCTGAACCGCATGTCGGTTTTTAGCGAAAACCGAGCGTATTTATGAAGAGGCCATTGGGAGTCATCATGTGAAGTTTCAACTCTGAGCACCCCCCACCCCAAACAGAGTGCAAATCGACAATCGGTCAACCCTTAAAAATGTTTGTTCCGGTTTTTTAAAGCTGATCGTATTGTGTTTATTTTGTTTAGTTCTTTTTCAGATTTAATGTTTACTATAGAGCTTAGAAAAAGTTGGCAGTGTGATATAGGCAAGAAGTAAGGCATGTAACAACATCAGCACGGCAAAGGGCACTCCTCTAAAGATAAAAAAGGGAAAAAATATTTGCAGTTAAGTGATAACGATTGCTGTATTAGTCGTACTATATTGGAATCAAGCAAGGGCAACACCGAGCCATACTGCTAGTATGTTATAGTAACAGTTACAAAGATACAAAGTGAAACAAGGAATATAATCAAAATTTAGAATGTTCTAAAAAGAGGGGAAATTTTTTTAAAAAATTAAAATAAAATTTGTTTCTTTCTTTAAATAATAACAAGAGAATTTAGACGACAAATATTTTATCGTCAAGTTTGGCGTATATTCATCATACAATGCGGGATATTTTAGAGAGTTCGTGGAGGTTCCTAAGTTTATGAGACTGGCGATTTAAAAACCTTAGCTTCGGAGCCTAAGGCATGAAAAGAGTTAGGTGTGTAGATATTGTATTCCCGTTCAACCAACGTAGAGAGTGCAAAAAGTGAATGATCGGTCGGCAAAGGAGAGATACGGAATTTCGTCCAGGGAACAAGATCAGCGATCAAAAAGCTGAGCTATGGAGACAAAGACAAGAAACGAGTTAGGAATTTAAATTTTTTTAACCGTTCAGGTAAAGTAAAGAGTGCAAAAAAAAGTAAATGGTCGGTAGGCTCCGGATTGCCGAATTCCAGTTTACGAGACTAGCGCTCTAACCAGCTGAGCTACGGAGCCGTAGGCCATGCATTGTCGGCTGAATTAGATTATTATTTTTCCTTCATCCAACGTAGATAGTGTGAAAGAAAAAAAAAATAATTAAAGAGAGAGAAAGGCTCCGAAGAGATTCGGACTCTCGACGTCCAGTTTACAAGACAAGCGCACTTAACAGCTGTGCTAAGAAGTCGGATGCCGGCTACCAGCTAGGAATTTAGATTTTTTTTCCCGTTCATCCAACGTAGAGAGTGCAAAAATAAAAAGTTAATGACCGGTAGGTTTCGACTCTCGACCTCCAGTTTATTAGACTGGGGCTCTAACCAGCTGAGCTAGGGAGCAGGATGCCGGCTAAGAGGTAGGAATTTAGATATTTTTTTTCCGTTCATCCAACGTAGAGAGTGCAAAAATAAAAAGTTAATGACCGGTAGGTTCTGGAGAGATTCGGACTCACGACCACCAGTTTATTAGACTGGCGCTCTAACAAGCTGACCTACGGAGCCGAATGCCGGATACGAGGTAGGAATTTAGATTTTTTTTTCCCGTTCATCCAACGTGAGAGTGCAAAAAAAAAAGATAATGACCGGTAGGTACCGGAGAGATTCGGACTCACGACCCCCAGTTTATTAGACCATGGCGCGCTAACCAGCTAAGCTACGGAGCCGGATGCCGGTTACGAGGTAGGAATTTAGATTTTTTTTCCGTTCATCCAACGTAGAGAGGCAAAAAAAAAAGAAATGACCGGTAGGCCTGGAGAGATTCGAGTCTCGACCTCCAGTTTACTAGACTGGCGTTCAAAACATTAGAGCTACGGAGCGAGGCCGAATACTGTTAGATTTTTTTTTTTTTTTCCGTTCATCCAACGTAGAGAGTGCAAAAAAAAAAAAGTTAATGACCGGTAGGCTCCGAGAGATTCGGACTCGACCTCCAGTTTACTAGACTGGCGCTCTAACCAGCTGAGCTACGAGCCGGAGAGGCCGGCTACCAGTTTTTTTTTTTTTTCCGTTCATCCAACGTAGAGAGAGCAAAAAAAAAAAAAGTTAATGACCGCAGGCTTTGAGAGATTCGACCTCGACCTCCAGTTTACTAGACTGGCGCTCTAACCAGCTGATTCACGGAGCTGGAGGCCGGCTACTGTTAGTATTTTATTTTTTTTTTTTTTTGTTAATGACCGTTCATCCAACGTAGAGAGTGCAAAAAAAAAGCTAATGACCGGTGCAGGCTTCGTTAGTTCAGTTTACTAGACTTTTTTTTTTTTCCGTTCATCCAACGGAGAGTGCTGACTTAGGAAGATTCCTGGACTCGACCTCTAGTTTACTAGACTGGCGCTCTAACCAGCTGATCTACGGAGCCGGAGGCCGGCTACTCGTTATTAATTTTAGATTTTTTTTTTCCGTTCATCCAACGTAGAGAGCAAAAAAAAAAAAAAGTTAATGACCGGTAGGCTCCGGAGAGATTCGGACTCTCGACCTCTAGTTTACTAGACTGGCGCCTAACCAGCTGAGCTACGGAGCCGGAGGCCGGGCTGCTCGTTAGTAATTTATTTTTTTTTTTTTTTCCGTTCATCCAACGTAGAGAGTGCAAAAAAAAAAAGTTAATGACCGGTAGGCTCGGAGAGATCCGACCTCGACCCAGTTTACTAGAGACTGGCGCTCTAACCAGCTGAGCTACGGAGCCGGAGGGCGGCTTACTGTTAGTATTTAGATTTTTTTTTTTTCCGTTCATCCAACGTAGAGAGTGCCAAAAAAAAGTTAATGACCGGTAGGCTCCGGAGAGATTCTGACCTCGACCTCCAGTTTACTAGACTGGCGCTCTAACCAGTTGAGCTACGGAGCCGGAGGCCGGCTACTGTTATAATTTAGATTTTTTTTTTTTTTTTCCGTTCATCCAACGTAGAGAGAGTGCCAAAAAAAAAAAATGTTAATGACCGGAGCCGGAGGCCCGGAGAGATTTTTTTTTTTCCGTTCATCCTCGACCTCCAAAAAAAAGTTTACTAGACTGGCGCCTCTAACCAGTTGAGCTACGGAGCCGGATGCCGGCTACCGTTAGCATTTAGATTTTTTTTTTTTTTTCCGTTCATCCAACGTAGAGAGTGCCAAAAAAAAAAAATGTTAATGACCGGTAGGCCTGGAGATTCGGACTCGACCCAGTTTACTAGACTGGCGCTCTAACCAGTTGAGCTACGGAGCCGGAGGCCGGCTACCTGTTGCATTAGATTTTTTTTTTTTCCGTTCATCCAACGTAGAGAGGCCAAAAAAAAAAATGTTAATGACCGGTAGGCCCGGAGAGATTCGGACCTCGACCTCCAGTTTACTAGACTGGGCGCTCTAATCCAGCTGAGCCGTATCCAACGGAGCCGTTAATGATGGATGCTCGGGATTCGACCCTCGACTGTTACTAGACTTTAGATTTTTTTTTTTTTTTTCCGTTCATCCAACGTAGAGAGTGCCAAAAAAAAAAAAATATGTTAATGACCGGTAGGCCCGGAGAGATTCGGACTCGACCACCAGTTTACTAGACTGGCGCTCTAACCAGCTGAGCTACGGAGCCGGAGGCCGGCTACTCGTTAGTATTTAGATTTTTTTTTTTTTTTTTTTGCGTTCATCCAACGTAGAGAAAGCAAAAAAAAAAATGTTAATGACCGGTAGGTTCTGAGAGATTCGGTCTCTCGACCTCTAGTTTACTAGACTGGCGCTCTAACCAGTTGAGCTTACGGAGCCGGAGGCCGTCTACTCGTTAGTATTTAGATTTTTTTTTTTTTTTTCCGTTCATCCAACGTAGAGAGTGCAAAAAAAAAAATGACCGGTGGCCTGGAGATTCGGACTCTCGACCTCCAGTTTACTAGATGACCAGGAGCTAGGAGCCGGAGGCCGCTCCGTTAGAATTTAGAGATTTGGTAGGCTCGACCTCCAGTTTACTAGACTGGCGCTCTAACCAGTTGAGCTACGGAGCCGGAGGCCGGCTACTCGTTAGATTTGATTTTTTTTTTTCCGTTCATCCAACGTAGAGAGTGCCAAAAAAAAAAAAAATGTTACGACCGGTAGGCCCGGAGAGATTCGACTCGACCTCCAGTTTACTAGACTGGCGCTCTAACCAGCTGAGCTACGGAGCCGGAGGCTGGCTACCGTTAGTATTTAGATTTTTTTTTTTTTCCGTTCATCCAACGTAGAAAAAAAAAATGTTAATGCCAAAAAAAAAAAACCAGTGAGCTGACCGGCTACTCGTTGAGAGATTTTTTTTTTTCCGTTCATCCAACGTAGTTTACTAGACTGGGATAGAACCTCCAGTTTACGGAGCCGGAGAGCTAGCGGAGGCTAGACTTAGATTTTTTTTTTTTTTTCCGTTCATCCAACGTAGAGACTGCCAAAAAAAAAAAAAAATATGTTAATGACCGGTAGGCTCCCGGAGAGACTGGACCTTCACTAGACCCAGGCATTAGACTATGTCTAACCAGTTTTTTTTTTTCCGTTTACGGAAAGTGCCAAAAAAAAAAATTTTTTTTTTTTTTTTCCGTTCATCCAACGTAGAGTGTTTTTTTTTTTTTCCGCCAAAAAAAAAAAAAAAAAAGGACCGGTAGGCTCGAGAGATTCGGACTCTCGACCTCCAGTTTACTAGACTGGCGCTCTAACCAGTTGAGCTACGGAGCCGGAGGCCGGCTACTAGTTAGATTAGATTTTTTTTTTTTTTTTTTTCCGTTCATCCAACGTAGAGAGTGCCAAAAAAAAAAAAAATTAATGACCGGTAGGCTCCGGAGAGATTCCGTACTCTCGACCTCCAGTTTAGGCTAGACTGGCGCTCAACCAGAGAGTACAAAGCTAATACGGTAGCCGAGGCCGGCTACTTTACTTGACTGGCGCTATTTAGAGGCCGGTTTTTTTTTTTTCCGTTTCTTATCCAACGTAGAGAGTGCAAAAAAAAAAAAAACAATGACCGGTAGGCCCGGAGAATTCCGACTCTCGACCTCCAGTTTACTAGACTGGAAGTTCAACCAGCTGAGCTACGGAGCCGGAGGCCGGCTACTGTTAGTATTTAGATTTTTTTTTTTTTCCGTTCATCCAACGTAGAGAGTGCCAAAAAAAAAAATGACCGGTTCCGGAATGACCGGTAGGCCCGGAGATGAGCTACGACCTCGACCGCCTACCAGTTTACTAGACTGGCGCATCCAACCAGTTGAAAAAAAAAAAATGCTGAGCCGGAGGATTCGACCTCGCCTACTAGACTCTCTAACCAGTTGTGAGCGAGCTTAGCATTTTTTTTTTTTTTTTTCCGTTCATCCAACGTAGAGACTGCCAAAAAAAAAAAATAATGACCGGTGGTTCGGAGAGATTCGACCTCGACCTCCAGTTACTAGACTGGCGTTCAACCAGTTGAGCTACGAGAGCCGGAGGACGGCTACTGTTAGTAATTTAGATTTTTTTTTTCCGTTCATCCAACGTAGAGAGTGCCAAAAAAAAAAAAAAAAATGTTAATGACCGGTAGGCTCCTGGAGAGATTCGACCCCGACCAGTTTACTAGACTGGCGCCTCAGTTTAGCTAGGACTGGAGGCGTTCTAACCATCCAACGTAGAGGAAAAAAAAAAATGCCGGTAGGCTGAGCTACGGAGCCGGAGGCCCATGACTCGTTAAGCGGAATTTAGATTTTTTTTTTTCCGTTCATCCAACGAGAGTGCCAAAAAAAAAAAAATGTTAATGACCGGTAGGCCTGGAGAGATTCGACTTCGACCTCCAGTTTACTAGACTGGCGCATGCTAACCAGTTGAGCTACGGAGCCGGAGGGCGGTTGTCGTTAGTAATTTAGATTTTTTTTTTTTTTTCCGTTCATCCAACGTAGAGAGCCAAAAAAAAAAATGTTAATGACCGGTAGGCCGGATAGATTCGACTCTGACCTCAGTTTATTCTGACTAGATACTGGAGCGGACCCCAGTTTACTCGTTCACCAACGTAGAACCAGTTGGTAGGCTACGGAGCCGGAGGCCGGGCTACCTGTTAGCTACGGAGCTGGAGGCCGGATATTAGATTTTTTTTTTTTTTTCCGTTCATCCAACGTAGAGAGTGCCAAAAAAAAAAAAATGTTAATGACCGGTAGGCTCCGGAGAGATTCGGTCCTCGACCTCCAGTTTACTAGACTGGCTTCCAACTAGCTGAGCTACGGAGCTGATGCCGCTACTCGTTAACCAGTTAGAGTGCCAAAAAAAAAATATGTTAAATGACCGGTAGGCCCGGAGAGATTCGACTCGACCACCAGTTTACTAGACTGGCGCTCTAACCAGCTGAGCTACGGAGCCGGAGGCCGGCCACTGTTAGTTTTTTTTTTTTTTTTTTTCCGTTCATCCAACGTAGAGAGTGCAAAAAAAAATGTTAATGACCGGTTTACTAGGCTCCGAGAGATTTTTTTTTTCCGGTCCAACGTAGAGAGTGCGACCGGTAGGCTCTAGTTTACTAGACTGGCGCTCTAACCAGGCCGGTTACTTCCTGTTAGTAATGAGCATCCACGGGAGCCGAGGCCGGAGAGATAGACTCGTTTACTAATTTAACCAGCTGAGCTACGAGCCGAGGCTGCCTACTCGTTAGCATTTAGATTTTTTTTTTTTTCCGTTCATCCAACGTAGAGAGCAAAAAAAAAAAAAAATGTTAATGACCGGTAGGCTCCGGAGAGATTCGGACTCGACCTCCAGTTTACTAGACTGGCGTTTAACCAGTTGAGCTACGAGCCGGAGGCCGGCTACTCGTTAGTAATTTAGATTTTTTTTTTTTTCCGTTCATCCAACGTAGAGAGTGCCAAAAAAAAAAATGTTAATGACCGGTAGGCTCCGAGAGATTCGGACTCGACCTCAGTTTACCAGACTGGCGCTCCCGCTAACCAGTTGAGCCGTTCACGGAGCCGGAGGCCGGCTACCTCCAGTTTACTAGACTGGCGCCCAAACATTTAGATTTTTTTTTTTTTTCCGTTCATCCAACGTAGAGAGTGCCAAAAAAAAAAAAATAATGACCGGTAGGCCCGGAGAGATTTTGACCCTCGACCTCCAGTTTACTAGACTGGCGTTCTAACCAGTTGAGCTACGGAGCCGGAGGCCGGCTACTGTTAGTATTTTAGATTTTTTTTTTTTTTCCGTTCATCCAACGTAGAGAGTGCCAAAAAAAAATGTTAATGACCGGTAGGGTGGCCTGGAGAGATTCGGACTCTCGACCTCCAGTTTACTAGACTGGCGCTTAACCAGTTGAGCTACGGAGCTGGAGGCCGGCTACTGTTAGTAATTTAGATTTTTTTTTTTTTTTTGTTCATCCAACGTAGAGAGTGCCAAAAAAAAAAATGTTAATGACCGGTAGGCTCCGGAGAGATTCGACTCGACCTCCAGTTTACTAGACTGGCGCTCTAACCAGCTGAGCCACGGAGCCGGAGGTCATTACTCGTTATTTAGATTTTTTTTTTTTTTCCGTTCATCCAACGTAGAGAGTGCCAAAAAAAAAAATGTTAATGACCGGTAGGACTGGCGCTCAACCAGGAGAGCCGATTCGGACTTTTTTTTTTTTTCCGTTCATCCAACGTAGACCAAAAATGTTAATGACTAGACTGGCGCTCTAACCAGACTGAGCTTTAACGGAGCTACGGAGCCTGGAGGTCGGCTACTGTTAGTATTTAGATTTTTTTTTTTTTTTCCGTTCATCCAACGTAGAGTGCCAAAAAAAAAAAAAATTAATGACCGGTAGGCTCCTGAGATTCGGACTCTCGACCTCCAGTTTACTAGACTGGCGCTCTAACCAGTTGAGCTGTACGGAGCCGGAGGGTGGCTACTGTTAGTATTTAGATTTTTTTTTTTTTTTCCGTTCATCCAACGTGTAGAGAGTGCCAAAAAAAAAAAAATGTTAATGACCGGTAGGCCTGAGAGATTCGACTCGACCTCCAGTTTACAAGACTGGCGCTCTAACCAGTTGAGCCACGGAGCCGGAGGCCGGCTACCTGTTAGTAATTAGATTTTTTTTTTTTCATCCAACGTTTTTGCCAAAAAAAAAAATGTTAATGACCGGTGAGGCTGGAGAGATTCACTTGACCGTTTACACTGGCGTTCTAACCAGTAGAGCGGAGCCGGAGAGGCGGCAACACTGTTATATTTAGATTTTTTTTTTTTTTTCCGTTCATCCAACGTAGAGAGTGCCAAAAAAAAAAATGTTTAATGACCGGTAGGCTCCTGGAGAGATTCGACTCGACCTCCAGTTTACTAGGACTGGCGCCTAACCAGTTGAGCGAGCGGAGGCGGAGGCCGGCTACCGTAGATTTTTTTTTTTTTCCGTTCATCCAACGTAGAGTGGCCAAAAAAAAAAAAAATGTAATGACCGGGGCTCCGAGAGATTCGGACTCGACCCAGTTTACCAGACTGGCGCTTCAACCAGCTGAGCTACGGAGCCGGAGGCCGGCTAATCCATTAGTAATTTAGATTTTTTTTTTTTTTCCGTTCATCCAACGTAGAGAGTGCCAAAAAAAAAAAATGTTTATGACCGGTAGGCCCGGAGAGATTCGGGATCTCGACCTCCAGTTTACTAGACTGGCGTTCTAACCAGTTGAGCTACGGAGCTGGAGGCCGGCTACTCGTTATTTATCTTTTTTTTTTTTTTCCGTTCATCCAACGTAGAGAGTGCCAAAAAAAAAATGTTAATGACCGGTAGGCCCGGAGAGATTCGGACCTCGACCTCCAGTTTACTAGATTGGCGCTCTAACCAGTTGTTAGTAGATTTTTTTTTTTTCCGGAGAGTGGCGGACCGAGGCCGGAAAGATTCTACCTGTTTACTAGACTGGCGCTAACCAGTTGAGCTAGATTTTTTTTTTTTTTTTTTTTTTTTCCGTTCATCCAACGTAGAGAGTGCCAAAAAAAAAAAAATGTTAATGACCGGTAGGCTCCGGAGAGATTCGCGACCACTTTACTAGACTGGCGCCAGTTGAGCTAGGAGCCGGCGCTCTAACCAGTTCCAACGTAGATAAAAAAAAAAAAATGTTAATGACCGGTAGGCCGAGAGATTCAACTCAGTTAGACTGGCGCCTTTGAGATTTTTTTTTTTTTTTTTTTTTTTTCCGTTCATCCAACGTAGAGAGTGCCAAAAAAAAAATGTTAATGACCGGTAGGCCTGAGAGATTCGGACTTCGACCTCCAGTTTACTAGACTGGCGCTCTAACCAGTTGAGCTACGGAGCCGGAGGCCGGCAACTGTTAGTAATTAGATTTTTTTTTTTTTCCGTTCATCCAACGTAGAGAGTGCCAAAAAAAAAAAATGACCGGTAGGTTTAATGACCGACCTCCAGTTTACGGACTGGCGTTTAACCAGTTGAGATTCGAGGTCCTTTAGACCTCCAGTTTAGGCTAGAGATTCGCGACCCAGTTTTTTAGACTGGCGTTTTAACCAGCGAGCTACGGAGGCGGAGGTCACCCAAAAAAATTTTTTTTTTTTTTTTCCGTTCATCCAACGTAGAGAGACCATCGACCTCCAGTTTACGACCAAAAAAAAAAATGTTAATGACCGGTAGGCTCCGAGAGATTCGACCTCTGACCTCCAGTTTATTAGACCGGCGCTCTAACCATCTGAGCTATGGAGCCTGAGGTCGGCTACACGTTAGTATTTAGATTTTTTTTTTTTTCCGTTCATCCAACGTAGAGAGGCCAAAAAAAAAAAAAAATGTTAATGACCGGTAGGCTCTGAGAGATTCGGACCTCGACCTCCAGTTTACTAGACTGGCGCCTAACCAGCTGAGCTACGGAGCCGAGGCCGCCTTTACTAGATGTTAGTATTTAGATTTTTTTTTTTTTTTTTTTCCGTTCATCCAACGTAGAGAGTGCCAAAAAAAAAAATGTTAATGACCGGTAGGTTCGAGAGATTCGACTGGCGCTCTACCTCCAGTTTACTAGACTGGCGCTTTTTTTTTTTTTCTAACCAGTTGAGCTACGGAGCCGGAGGCGGCTACTTGAGCTAACCATTTTTTTTTTCCGTTCATCCAACGTAGAGAGTGCCAAAAAAAAATGTTAATGACCGGTAGGCCCGGAGAGATCTGGACTTCGACCCTAGTTTACTAGACTGGCGCTCTAACCAGTTGAGCTACGGAGCCGGAGGCTGGCTAAATTTAGAATTTTTTTTTTTTTTTTGCGTTCATCCAACGTAGAGAGCCAAAAAAAAAAAAAAATTTAATGACCGGTAGGCTCCGGAGAGATTCGGACTCTGCGACCTCCAGTTTACTAGACTGGCGCCTAACCAGTTGAGCTACGGAGCCGGAGGCCGGCTAGTCGTTAGTATTTAGATTTTTTTTTTTTTTTTCCGTTCATCCAACGTAGAGAGTGCCAAAAAAAAAAAAAATGTTAATGACCGGTAGGCCTGGAGAGATTCGGACTCGACCAGTTTACTAGACTGGCGCTCAACCAGTTGAGCTACGGAGCCGGAGGCCGGCCACTGTTAGTATTTAGATTTTTTTTTTTTTTCCGTTCATCCAACGTAGAGAGCAAAAAAAAAAATTTAATGACCGGTAGGCCTGAGAGATTCGGACTCGACCTCCAGTTTACTAGACTGGCGCTCTAACCAGTTGAGCTATCCCAACGGAGCCGGAGGCCGGCGACACCTTTTACAAGATTAACTAGTAATTTAGTTAGATTTTTTTTTTTTTTTTTTCCGTTCATCCAACGTAGAGAGTGCCAAAAAAAAAATGTTAATGACCGGTAGGCTCCGGAGAGATTCGACCTCGACCTCCAGTTTACTAGACTGGCGCTCCAACCAGTTGAGCTACGGAGCCGGAGGCCGGCTACCGTTAGTATTTAGATTTTTTTTTTTTTTCCGTTCATCCAACGTAGAGAGAGCCAAAAAAAAAAAAAAATGTTAATGACCGGTAGGCCCGGAGAGACTCGACCTCGACCACCAGTTACTAGACTGGCGCTCTAACCAGGCTGAGCTACGGAGCCGGAGGCTGGCAACACGTTAGTATTTAGATTTTTTTTTTTTTTTTCATCCAACGTAGAGAGTGCCAAAAAAAAAAATGTTAATGACCGGTGGCCCGGAGAGATCTCGACCTCGACCTCCAGTTTACTAGACTGGCGCTCTAACCAGCTGAGCTACGGAGCGGAGGCCGGCTACTGTTACAGTATTTTTTTTTTTTTTCCGTTCATCCAACGTAGAGAGTGCAAAAAAAAAAAAATGTTAATGACCGGTAGGTCCGGGAGAGATTCGACTCAGGTTTGACAGATCAAGTTATATTTAGATTTTTTTTTTTTTTCCTAACCAGTTGAGACCGGTAGGCGGAGATGACTCCGACCTCCAGGCCCAGCCTAACCAGTAATTTAGATTTTTTTTTTTTTCCGTTCATCCAACGTAGAGTGCCAAAAAAAAAATGGACCGGCCGAGAGATTCGGATACTGTTTATGGATTAAACTAGTTGAGATTTTTTTGCTTTTTTTTTTTCCGTTCATCCAACGTAGAGAGTGCCAAAAAAAAAAAATGTTACGACCGGTAGGTTCCGGAGATTCGGACTCGCCTCCAGTTTACTAGACTATGCTTAACCAGCTGAGCTACGGAGCCGGAGGCCGGCTACTGTTAGTATTTAGATTTTTTTTTTTTTTTCATCCAACGTAGAGTAAAAAAAAAAAAATGACCGGTAGGCTAAGACCGTTTACTAGACTGGCGCTCTAAATCCAGGAGAGATTCGACTTAGATTTTTTTTTTTTTTTTCTCCAACGAGAGGCCAAAAAAAATAGTTTACTAGAGGCTCCGGAGATTCGCTTCGAACCAGTTTAGCTAACGGAGCGAGGCTGAGCTACGGAGTTAGGCCGACAACTGTTATTTTTTTTTTTTTTTTTTTCCGTTCATCCAACGTAGAGAGAGCAAAAAAAAAAATGTTAATGACCGGTAGGCTGGCTATCGGAGAGATTGCGGACTGGACCTCCGGAGTTTACTTCGACTGGTTTAGACTAAAACCAGTTGAGTTTACGGAGCCGGTCGGCTACTGTTAGTAATTTAGATTTTTTTTTTTTTTTTTTCCGTTCATCCAACGTAGAGAGTGCCAAAAAAAAAAAAAAATGACCGGTAGGCCCCGAGAGATTCGGACCATCGACCTCCAGTTTACTAGACTGGCGCTCGAACCACAGTTGAGCTACGAGCCGGAGGCCGGCTAATGTTAGTATTATAGATTTTTTTTTCCGTTCATCCAACGTAGAGAGTGCCAAAAAAAAAATGTTAATGACCGCTAGGTTCCGGAGAGATTCGACTCGACCTCCAGTTTACTAGACTGGCGCTCTAACCATCTGAGCTACGGAGCCGTGAGGCCGGGCTACTGTTAGCATTTAGATTTTTTTTTTTTTTCCGTTCATCCAAAAAAATGTGCCAAAAAAAAAAAATGTTAATGACCGGTGGTTCCGGAGAGATTCGACTCGACCTCCAGTTTACTAGACTGGCGCTCTAAATCAGTTGAGCCTACGTAGCCGGAGGCCGGCTACGTTATATTTCTTTTTTTTTTTTTTTTCCGTTCATCCAACGCAGAGACTGCCAAAAAAAAAAAAAATGTTAATGACCGGTAGGCCCGAGAGATTCGACTCGACCTCCAGTTTACTAGACTGGCGCTCCAGCTGAGCTACGGGAGCTGGAGGCCTGCCACTGTTAGTAATTTAGATTTTTTTTTTTTTTCCGTTCATCCAACGTAGAGAGTGCCAAAAAAAAAAAATGTTAATGACCGGTAGGCTCCGGAGAGATTCGGACCTCGACCTCCAGTTTACTAGACTGGCGCTTCTAACCAGTTGAGCTACGAGCCGGAGGCCGGCTACACGTTAGTAATTTAGATTTTTTTTTTTTTTCCGTTCATCCAACGTAGAGAGTGCCAAAAAAAAAAAAAAAATGTTAATGACCGGTAGGCTCCGGAGAGATTCGGACTCTCGACCTCCAGTTTACTAGACTGGCGCTCTAACCAGTTGAGCTACGGAGCCGAGGCCGGCCACACGTTAGTAATTTAGATTTTTTTTTTTTTTCCGTTCATCCAACGTAGAGAGTGCCAAAAAAAAAAAAAAACACGACCGGTGGCTCCGGAGAGATTCGACTCGACCTCCAGTTTACTAGATTGGCGTCTAACCAGTTGAGATACGGAGCCGGAGGCCGGCAACTCGTTAGTATTTAGATTTTTTTTTTTTTTTCCGTTCATCCAACGTAGAGAGTGCCAAAAAAAAAAAAAGGCCTGGAGAGATGTTAATGACTGTAGGCTCCGAGAGAATCGATTTTTTTTTTTCCGTTCACTCGACCTCCAGAGATTTACTAGACTGGCGCTCGAACTAGCTGAGCTACGGAGCCGGAGGCCGCTACTCAGTTAGTATTTAGATTTTTTTTTTTTTTTCCGTTCATCCAACGTAGAGGCCAAAAAAAAAAATTGTTAATGACCGGTAGGCCTGGAGAGATTCGACCTCGACCTCCAGATTACTAGACTG